CCTTATATTAAATAGGGGAACTTGTCGGCCAATACATTGGTTTCGCAGACCAAACGGATGTCATAACTTTCTTTAGTTTATTTGATCGAGCCTCACTCTCAATTCTTGCGTTCATCCTTCGGGATAGATACATGATTTGAGATAAAGCGCTCTTTCATCTAAACTATGAAAATTATGGGATCAGTTTGACTTCATCTTTTTCAAAACTAAATTTTTTAAAACGTCCTTCCGAAGCGGGCAACGGGATTTCAATTCCGATGACCGACAGCTTCTTACGGGCAAACCCCACACCAAAAATAGTGCCGACAAAGTGTCAGTTGGGTGTAGAGGCTATATTGAAATGTTGTCATCATAACAATTAGTTGTGTAGGCTAGAGTGTGAAGCTACAATAGTAACTAGCTACATAGGTTATGGTGGGACACTGCAAGAGCATCAATTGATCACATTAGTCATAGTGGAAGGCTGAAATAATAGTAATTAGTCATGTAAGTTGTAGTGGGTAGTCGCAACAACAATTGGTCACATAGGTTGTGATGGGTCATTGTGAGAGCGTTAATTGGTAGAAAAATGTTGCACTATAAGTAGGTGTGTCAATTCAGGTACGCAAACCTGGTTTTTGTTCAACCCAAAACAGACACGATCCAAAATAAGTTCAAGCCAAACTTGAACAAGACCTGAATATTATACGGGTTGAAAATCTCAACCTAAACCCAACTTAACCTATACACAGATAACTCGAACCTGACATGTTAACATTGTTAATGTAAGGATAACAATTATTTTTAGGTAAAAAATGAGTCAAAATCATGTCAATTTTGAGTAACTTCGGACAATTTTGAATAGGTCGGTCAAATTCAAGTAAATTTTAGGTTTGAGGGTCAGTTTTTGGTTGGAGAGTCGGCCCGAACCTAACCTGCAAATGAAGCCTGTAAATAATCTTGGCCAAAAAGTTATTCGGGTTAACCAAAATCAAGATTTTTGAGTCAAGTTAAAGTTGATTTGGCGCATTAGGCCAAATTTTTTACATCCCTAATTAGAATGTTGTCATGACAACAATTAGCCAAATATGTTGTAGTTGGAAGCTATAGTTGTAACTGGTCAAATAGGTTGCAGTGGGCTGTCATAAGATCGTTATTATCGACGAAGGATATAGTGGAAGGTTGTAATACAATTGTTAGCCATGTAGAATGCGGTGAGTAACTACGTTATTAACAGTCATATAGGTCGTACTGAGTTGTTGCACAAGTGTCAGTTGACAACATAAGTTGCAATGGAAGGTAGTAATGACAGTGGTTGGCCACATAAGATGCATCATGCATCAACAATAACATTATATGGTCTCACAATAATGGTAGTCGGGCCTACAATGGTTGGTAACCGTGACCTTTTTTCCCGGGTTTAATATTTCACCCGAGACATCGCTTGTTAGTTAGCGACGTAAAGTGGAGACTTCAAGAGTTCGAAGAAAATCATTGTATATTTAGCATGATAATTGTAGGTAATTTTCATCATGAGTTATCTTCAATGCAGTGTTCTTCATTATTCCGTATTTGAGATACTTTGTAATACCTATTTTTTGTGCATTATTATATTATATTTAGGGTATATTCTTACACAATATTCGGGATGAGTCATTACAATATATTCATGTTTCGTTATTACACGGAATTTAAGGTGTGTTGTTACATTGTATCCAAGGTGGATCATCACACAGGTACGTTATTATGTCGTATTTAAGGCACACTATCACACAATATTCATGGCACTTCATCACACTATATTAAGTGTACATCATTACATAGTATTCAGAATATTGTTACAATGTATTGTAGGTACATTGTTACACTATATTCATAGTGTGCTATTATATTGTATTTAAGGTGCATCATTATACTATATTTTGAGTTTATTGTTACACTGTATTCATGGTCCTCCATCACACCATATTTATGATACATCGTTACACCATATTCAGGGTGCGTAGCTACACTTTATTAAGGGTATTTTGTTACAACATATTCAGGGTGTGTTGTTACATCACATTCAAGATGTGTCGTTACATTGTATTCAAGGTGTGTCATTAGACTATTTAGGGTACATTATTACACCATATTCAGTGTGTGTCACTGCATTATATTTAGGTTTCATCGTTACATCACATTTAGGGTGCGTCACTACACCATATTGAGGGTGTATCATTGTACCATAGTCAGAGTGAATTGCTACACTATATTCAACGTCCACCGTTGCAACATATTCATGGTGCATCACTACACCATATTTGGGATATGTTGTTACATTGTATTCAAAGTGCGTCTTTACATTGTATTCAAAATATATTATTGTAGCATATTCAAGACGCATCATTACACCACATTGTGTGTTATTGCTCTGCAGGGTTATTTTGTTATTCCACATGATACATTATTACTCTACAATGTGCATCATTACTTTGTATGGGGGCATCTTTACTCTACAAAGTTCATGTTCAACAATGAAAGGGAGTTGATGGGTGGTTGGTGGCGATTTATGGTAACTGGTGAGTGACGATCGGTGACTATGAGGGCTAGAAGTTATCACTGTATCTTCTATACATAAGATATATGAAATTTGACTCATTCTCCTCCTTCATCACACCCTCTCCCAAGTAAAGAGAGGGTCTATACTTACAAGCCTCAAAGGAGGAAAAAATATTACATCAGTAGTTGGAAGTTATATAGTTGTAACTGGTCAAATAGAATGCAGTGGGCTGCCATAAGATCGTTAATTATCGACGAAGGATATAGTGGAAGATTGTAATACAATAGTTAGCCATGTAGAATGTGGTGAGTAACTACATTATTAATAGTCATATAGGCCGTAGTGAGTCGTTGCAAAAGTGTCAGTTGACAACATAAGTTGCAATGGAAGGTAGTAATGACAGTGGTTGGCCACATAAGATGCATCATGCATCAACAATAACATTATATGGTCTCACAATAATGGTAGTCGGGCCTACAATGGTTGGTAACCGTGACCTTTTTTCCCGGGTTTAATATTTTAATATTTCACCCGAGACATCGCTTGTTAGTTAGCGACGTAAGGTGGAGACTTCAAGAGTTCGAAGAAAGTCATTGTATATTTAACATGATAATTGTAGGTAATTTTCATCACGAGTTATTGTTTTATCTTCAATGCAGTGTTCTTCATAACTTCGTATTTAACATACTTTGTAATACCTATTTTTTGTGCATTATTATATTATATTTAGGGTATATTCTTACACAATATTCGGGATGAGTCATTATAATATATTCATGGTTCGTTATTACACGAATTTAAGGTGTGTTGTTACATTGTATCCAAGGTGGATCATCACACAAGTACGTTATTATGTCGTATTTAAGGCAGACTATCACACAATATTCATGGCACTTCATCACACTATATTTAGTGTACATCATTACATAGTATTCAGAATATTATTACAATGTATTGTAGGTACATTGTTACACTATATTCATAGTGTGTTATTATATTGTATTTAAGGTGCATCATTATACTATATTTTGAGTTTATTGTTACACTGTATTTATGGTCCTCCATCACACCATATTTATGATACATCGTTGCACCATATTCAGGGTGCGTAGCCACACTTTATTAAGGGTATTTTGTTACAACATATTCAGGGTGCGTTGTTACATCACATTCAAGATGTGTCGTTACATTGTATTCAAGGTGTGTCATTAGACTGTATTTATGGTACATTATTACACCATATTGAGTGTGTGTCACTACATTATATTTAGGTTTCATCGTTACATCATATTCAGGGTGTGTCACTACACCATATTGAGGGTGTATCATTGTACCATAGTCAGAGTGAATTGCTACACTATATTCAACGTCCACCGTTGCAACATATTCATGGTGCATCACTACACCATATTTGGGATATGTTGTTACATTGTATTCAAAGTGCGTCTTTACATTGTATTCAAAATATATTATTGTAGCATATTCAAGACACGTCATTACACCACATTGTGTGGTATTGCTCTGTAGGGTATTTTGTTATTCCACATGATACATTGTTACTCTACAATGTGCATCATTACTTTGTATGGGGACATCTTTACTCTACAAAGTTCATGTTTAACAATGAAAGGGAGTTGATGGGTTGTTGGTGGTGATTTATGGTAGCCGGTGAGTGACGATCGGTGACTATGAGGGCTAGAAGTTATCACCGTATCTTCTATACATAAGATATATGAAATTTGACTCATTCTCCTCCTTCATCACACCCTCTCCCAAGTAAAGAGAGGGTCTATACTTACAAGCCTCAAAGGAGGAAAAAATATTACATTATTACTACGCAAGTAGCGTAACGTGCACAACCAATGAAATCACTCCACGACACTCCAAACGACAGGAAAAAAAAAACGGCGCGGTAACACGGGGAATATTCCCCCCATGTTATTCATGTGTTTATCCCCCCATGTTATTCATGTGTTATTGTGTGTTATTCATGTATTACCGATGTGTTATTGTGTTATTATAACATCAAGAATATTCTCAGGACACAATAACATATGAATAACACACAATAACGTCAGAATAACACAAGAGAATATTCCTTAGAGAGAAAAAAAGGCGCGGTAACACGGGGAAATATTCCCCCAATGTTATTCATTTGTTATTGTGTGTTATTCATGTGTTATTGATGTGTTATTCTATTATTATAATATCAGAAATATTCACAGAACATAATAATACATGAATAACACACAATAATATATGAAGAATACGGTGAGAATATTCCCCGTGTTGCAGTGCCCTTTTTTCTCTATTCTGTGCGATGTCGTTGTGTGATTTCATTAGCTACGCACGTCACTCTACGTGCATAATACTGATGTAATATTTTTACTTACCTTTTACTATATAGTGATTTGATGAAGGGGCCAACATAGATTCCAATTGATCATATAAGATTTTTCGATGATTTAATGGCCTCAACGACCTGATAATTAGCGACATAGCGGGCGACATGGAAGAAGAGCTCCAAAGGAAGTCCATCAAGCTCGTGAACTTCGTCTCTGAGGAGCAGGTCTCATAGTAAAACTCTGATATGTAACCCTAACCCATGTGCTCGTTCGATGCATTTCGCGAATCTATTCTCTTACACCCACATTTCTCTCTCTCGCTTATAGTTGGATGAAAGCAGAAAGATTCGAGGTGAGCGTGTTGAAGACGGCACCGCGCAGAGAGACCGGCCATTGTATGAGGTATCATTACACATTGCTCAAAGGTCTTGCTTTGACTTCCACTAAGATTTTCTTGGTTTGATTTTAAAACAACCTGCGTTGAATTTAGTTGATCCACGGTTGATATTGGAAATTTGAACAACCCACGTTGTTTGTACTTGATTCTAAATTTTATTGCTCGTTATATTACTGGAAGAATGACATTGCTCAAACTATACTCTTCCTCGTTGGTCTTCTGCTCGAGCTTTTTGAGGCTGTTGGTTCTGTGTTATAAAATCGTCAAAATAATAGTATCTCTCAAACATTGCGTTCTGTTCATCTTATCGTAATTAAAAATGTTAGTATGCGGAAGACTGTAACTGTTGTTCCAATGCTATTTTAGAGGACATCAACTCGTTATCTTTAGAAGGAAGAAGCTCCTTTGAAAACCAGGTTGTTGCAGTTTATAATTCATATCAATGATTTAACATGAAAGCAATCATGCTATCATCCATAATTATATTGGTTATACATGGACTCGGTAGTAGACTGAAAGTATAATAACAGCAAATGCTGGAGCAGGGTGCTCGTCCATAATCATAAACCAATCAAATAGATTGAAGAATGTTAATCAGAAGCTAGTAGCTCCTAAGATATGCAGTTTGGTCTAAGAAATAAGCATGTTTCAATGAATGATAGACCTTTATATTTTTGAAAAACTCCATCTTCACAAATGTCAGGCCCCATTTTTATTAGAGGTGAATAATCCAATCAGACAAATTTTCTGCTAACACCCATGCTGGCTTTATTAATCAAGATTGAGTTAGTAAAAAATTAGTATGCTTAGATTGCCACAAATTATAACTACACTTTCACAATCAACTAAGTGGATTTATCGCAGTCATTAATACGGAAGCAGCTATAATTTAAAGTATCAAGATAGACCATAGAGCTTTATGTGTATCAAAAGTTTTTAAAAATTTATAGAAATATGCGTCTCACATCTTTAATTTACATAATGATTATATTTCTTTTATCACACAGTTAAAAACATATATCAAACTCTAATACAGGACATTATTCGGATCACACGATCATGGCTCTATTTGTTCACCTTTCATACCAAAAAAATAGTCAAAATAACATTCAATGCATTAAAAGCTCAATGATAGAAGTAATTATAATACTAGTTTCAAAATTTAAAAGCATAAGTATTATTAATCATACACATGACTGTTCTAGTGCATAAAATTTAAAGCAAGAGCAACTTTTATGATCACTTGAGTAAATTATAATTACAAGAAGAAAAATATCCATTCGCAAAATAAAATGCATAATTTGAATGACAAACATTTAATGACTATAGCAGTCAACTGTTGATATAAAATTACTTGCTTCTATTTTTCACCTTTTTAATATATTTCTATAGGCATAGAAGTGTCATACGGCGTCCATAGATTTTGGTGCATTCATAACACTAGATCATCACCTAGCCCATTGCCTATTCATTTAACAACGACCCTTCACTTCAATGTTGGTCCATAATGTAACAATGTTTAGAAGAGAAAGATCTTAAGGCTTACTTCATTAGGTCATTTGCCTCTCCTACATAGGTCATCATTATCACATGCCTTTCTCACATAACATGATTTATTATTACTTTTTCTTTTTGACATCACCACAAGTCTTTTAAAACAATTAACATTATTATGCACCTATATCAATTCATATATTTTAACTTGCGTCAAGGTAAAAATATGACATTTAATATATTAGATCTGGTTATTTTATCATGTATCATAAAATATTATAAGATTTAAGTATCACTAAAATTTTAATGATGACCAACCATCTAAAATCCTCAATGTTGAGTACATAGCGACAACAATGTTGATTTTAGATAAAAAAAAATTATCTTCAACTTAGAGCAGAATGTGGGGGAATGATGACCAACCATCTAAAATCCTATGATTTTGTCTTCCATATTTGTTGCGGACACTGTCTACCCTATTAAAATAGAAAGTCAACCCAATTTAATTAATAGTTCTTTATCAATAACCATGAGTTAAGCTAGTCTAAGGAGATCTTGTAGACTGAGGCAAATGTTTGAGCTTTGTGTTTTATAAGTATACTTGGAACACTGTAATTGCCAGGTCCCAGATCCCAGATGTGAAAAGTGGAGGGTTGTATTAGGTAGTCAACAACCAATGTAAAATTTGTTGAAAAATCATGACATGAATCATTTTGATCATTATTTAAATGCTCGGGCGTCCCCTGGAAGTGACACACCGTATGCCTCGAGTACAGTGACAAGTGTGGAAGGGCTGCTTCACCAGTGCCCGGGCGTAATGTCAAATAGGCAAGGGTTTCCACATTACGGAAGGATGCGGGTAAAGAAGTTAGTCAATGAAACTAATATTATGATAAGATATTATAATATATGTACTCTCACATGTAACTTAATAAAATTAGTTGATATTATGGTTTATAGATAGATTATTATCTTTTTTATTCAAGAAACTAAATGGGTTGGAGAAAAAACTAAGAAAATTGACAACTTAGGTTTTAAACTTTGGTATTCAGGTATGAGTCATCATAGAAATGGTGTATATGTAATTATAGATAAGAGTTTAAATAATAATGTCATAAAAATTAATAGAATTGGAGATAGAATTATAACTCTTAATATTGTTGTTGATACTTAGAATTTTAATATTATAAGTAGTTATGCTCTTCAAGTTGGTTTAAATACAAGTTCTAAAGAATGATTTAGAAGAATTAATACAAATGATACCTCTTGAAGAAAAAAATTTATTGGAGGAGATTTAAATGGACTTGTCGGTAGAGTGATATAAGGTTTTAGAAATATTCATGGTGGCTACAATTTTGGAGTGATTAATGAAGAAGGTAGAGCCATATTAGATTTTGCTTTAGCATTTAATTTTGCTATTGCTAATACTTTATTCAAGAAAAGAAGTGAGCATATTATTACTAATTGATTATTTTTTATGAGAAAAAAAGATATTTGAGAATGTAAAGTTTGTAAGGTCATTCCAAGTGAGAATTTATGTACATAACATCAATTATTAATTGTGAATTTTAAGATAAAGAATTGTAATACAAATAATACTAAGAATCATTATCATATAATTAGATGGGGGTACGTAAAAAACACAAATCAAATTATTTTTTATGAGTAAATTTTAAGATTTCAAGACTTGAGATATCCACTAAGAAGCAAATTCTATGGAATAATGTTATAAAAAACTGTTAAATAAGTGACAAAAGATGAACTTGAAGAATAAAAAAGAAATGTTTCTACAAATAAAAATAGTTGGTGGTGAAATAATAATGCGCAACAAAAGAAAAATATAAGAAATTATGTTATAAAAATTAATTTAAATGTAAAAGCTTAGAGAGCTGGGAAAAATATAAAGTGGTCTGCAGGGAATCTAAGAGAATAATCTGTGACGCTAAAAATTCTGCTTTTAATAATTTTTATAATAAATTATATGCTAAAGAGATTGAAAAATATATGTGATATATACAAAGATAAAAGAAAAGTAAATATTTAACTCAAGTAATGTGTATGAAAGATGAAAATAAAAAAATCGCCTTTCTTAGAACAATATATTTAATATTGGTGGACAAGTTATTTTGATGAACTTCACATTAGGTAAAAAAGAAGTTGAAGAGGCTTTAAAAAAATCAAGGGTGCAAAATCTGTAGGGCTTGATGATATCTTAATTGAAGTGCGGAAATATTTCAGAGATTTGGTAGTTTTTTAGCTTACTAAACTCTTTAATATTATTTTAAAAACAAAAAAAGATGCTTGAAGAGTGGGGGAAGAGTATTTTTGTCCCCATTTTTAAGAATAAAGAGGATGCACTAGAGTGTGGAAATTATAGAGGAATTAAGTTGATGTGTCATACTTTAAAATTATGGGAGAAGGTAATCAAATATAGGTTAAGACGCATTATAAATATTTCTCATAATCAATTTGGATATTTGGATTTATGTCGGGCAGGTCTAGTATGGAAGCTATACATTTATTGAGAAGTTTGATGGAGAAGTACAGAGAGAATAAGAAGAATCTACATTTGATTTTTATTGTAGATATCCTTTGGAGAGTTCTAGAGAAGAAAGAGAAGAAAGGCGTTGATAAGGCGTTGATATGACTTATATTCAATTAATTAAAGATATGTATACTAGAGTTGTTTCTTGTGTTCGAACAGAAAGAGGTTTGATCAATATTTTCTTATTTTAGTTGAATTACATCAAGGTTCGGCTTTAAGCCCAAATCTTTTTGCTTTAGTTGTAGATGCTCTTACTGAACATTTACAGGAAGATGTACCTTAGTGTAAGCTTTTCGCTGATGACGAGCTTAGGAAAAAATTGAATTATGGAGTTCTACATTGGAGGCTAAAGGTCTTCGTTTGAGTAGAACTAAAGCTGAATACATGAAATGTAATTTTCGTAGTATTAGCTCTAGTGACAGTGTTGTAACTATGGGTGATCGAATCATTAAAAGATGTGAGCGCTTTAGATATTTCGGGTCTATTGTTCAGAGTGAGGGTGATATAGATGGTGGTGTTTTTAGAATTCAAGTTGGTTGGTTGAAGTGGAGGAATGCTTCGGGCCTATTGTGTGATAGAAAAGTACCGCTCAGACTGAAAGGAAAATTTTATAAGATGGTGGTGAGATCTGCAATGCTCTATGGAACAAAATATTGACCTTTAAAAAAAACATAAAGCTAAGATAAGTGTTGCCGAGATGATAATGCTTAGGTGGATGAGTGACTTTACACTTAGAGAAAAATTGCGATATGAATATATTCGTGATAGGGTTGGTATAGCTCCAGCGGTTGACAAAATTAGAGAGAGTCGTCTTAGATTGTTTGGTCACGTTAAATGTTGACCATCTGATGATCCGGTTGGCAGAGTGTATGTTTTAGATTTGGCTTACGTTAAGAGAATCATGGGTAGACCTAGAAAGACTTGAGCATATTGTATAAAAAATGATCTTAATTTATTAGAATTAAA